TGCCGCTACCCCCATCGCCATGACCATCTGGTACTATTGGGTATATTTCAAACACTCTGCACCGTGACATGATGCCATACGACGTTGAATATATCAACTGCCACTCCCTTTGATACAAAGACAGACCGGCTCGCCGTTGGAATAGTCCCGTTCCTCGCACACCATGCTGTCCCCAAGCGCACAGTAATAAGCATCTGTGCAATCCTTGAGTCTCTGGCACATTGTCCCATAAGGCGGGACATTTTGGTCGGTGATGCAAGTGCACGATGGGCCGCCGCCATAATCGGCGCATTGAAGGATCTTGCCTTTGGGGCAGTCACCCTTGCACTGGGCACTAGAACCACAATCGCCTCCAATCGGGACAGAGGTGGGTTTCGTAGACGTTGTAGAGGGCTTGGAAGTGGTCGAGGTTGTGGTTGTAGTGGCGTAGATCGATGAAAACATAGCTTCGATGGAAGACGATAAACTGCTAGCGGCCGAGGTGTCTAAAGCGTCATCAGGATTGTAATAACCGACCCAAGCAGTGATTGAATCTTCTTCAATCGTGGTGGTGGTGGTTGAAGCCTCAGCGCTGCAAGCAGTAATGGTCTCACAGCTGGTAGAGGTTTCGGTTGTATATGTTGAGGCGGGCGTGACGATGGTCGAGTAGACAGTTTCAGTGCAGACATCAGCCTCTCTAGCCTCGCAGTCGTCGTCTTCTGATTCACAGCCCGGACCCGTGCACACTCCATCTTGACAATTGGGACCAGTGCAAGAGACCATATGACATTTTGGCCCGGTGCATTCCCCTGTGCTGCTGGTACAATCGATACCGATGCATCCGATAGAAATACAATCGAATCCAAAGCAGCCGCCTGATTTGTTGCAGTCGGCGCCCTCGCAGCCTACTGTTTTGCAATCAGGACCGTCACAGGATCCATCCAAGCCACAGTCACCGCCAATACAACCAGAATACTTGCACGAATCATCGAGACAGACGCCGTTGTCACATCCGGAGCCTGTGCATCCTTTTTTCTGACAGTTGGAGCCAGTGCACTCTCCGTTCTGACATTCAGGGCCAGTACACTTGGAATGGCTAGCAGGAGGATCAGGATCCGCTGGGTCCTTCCAGCTTTCATGAGCCTTGGGGTCATCACAGTTAAGCAAGCACGGTGTATGACAGAAGGAGGTACACTTCGTCCCACATCCAGATGTACAGGTAGGGCCTGAGGGACCACCCTGAGTGAATTTGATGGTAGGGGTCGGAACTACCACAGGCAAAGAAGAAGTGGACCAAGGCCAGGGAGGCGGATACAAAGTACGGCTGGCTGTCGCGGTATATGTCATATCCGGGACGTCTGGTTTATCGGCGAACACGATTGGATCTAGTGCAAAACTAGGGAACAGTGTTGTGGAAGTATCTTTGACGTTGGTTGCGGTGATGTTCCAATTCCACCATGGGATTTGGGTCGTTCTGATCTCAGGTATAGCAAAGGTCGTCGTCTGCACAGTGCGAGTCACTGTAGTAGTGACGGTAGGCTGCCCCGAAATGGTCACAGTCTTGGTTGTAGTCCAGGCCACCTCGATTGGAGTCACCAAAGATTCGATAGAGAATGTAGTCGTGGAAGTTAAGGTGGAGGGAGCGACAATGATATTCAGCGGACCCACACCAGTGACAATGTTAGAGCCTGACTTTGTATCGGCAACAGACGCGGCAACATGAAGATTGTCACTATCACTATCAGAACCAGAGCCTGACCCCGATCCAGTGGAGCTTCCAGATTGCTCTACACAGGCGCCTTCGGGACAGTACCCGCGCTGACAGGTGTATTCACACAAAGGACCATAGACGGCTGAGTCTTGCCCGGGGGCAGCCTCGCCCGTGACATCGGTCGTGGGGCTCATGACATTCACTGCTCCCTGCCCTGTACACGTGCAGGCGTTTATTGGGCAGAAGCCGTGAGTACAGGCGAAGTCACAAAGGCCACCGAGGTTGCCCACGCCAGTGCCTGAAGTGCATGCCGGAGGTAAGAATGGCGAGACGGAGGGCGTTGACAGGGGGACCTCCACGGTACCACATGCTGAGGGAGGACATAATCCGAGATTGCAATCAAAGTTGCAAAGTCCACTGTAGCTTGCACCCTCTCCTGCGATCGGATATCCTAGCACACCGGTCGAGTTCGGCTTTTTATGGCCGATTCCCATTTTTGTGCAGGTGCAAGCTCCCAGAGGACAGTAGTTATATGTGCAGGCGAACTCACAGAGACCGGCAAAGTTGGAAGCGCCAGTCCCGTTCATACACTTTTGGTCAGAAAGTTCGACCTTTGTTCGGGCAGACACTGTGCTCCCTGTCGTCGCACTACCTACCCAGGCATTCCAGTTCTGTATGCCATCCGTGCAGCTTCCAGAGATGGCTTTGCCCTCAATCGTGGTAATCACAGTGGAACCTCGCATCAAAGACACCGTGACTGGTCCAGTGCGACCATCAAAGGCGACACTGCCATGGTAGACACCAACATCATCGTCTGGGACAGATGACCAGCCGACCGTCTCGGCATTCCCCCCAATTGAGACCACGGCTCCAGAGAAAGAGCCCAGAACAGCGGAGAAGAAGATTCGATCTTGAACCATTTCTGCCGGAGGGAATTCAATCTGCAACTGCGCGGCAGTGTTGCCACTAGTGCCTCCACTGCTGCAAGCCGCTGCAGGAGCCGGTCGATACCAGGCAATAATGCTCTCCTGGGTCACCTCTGCCGATCCTTTCTTATACATATCGATGAAGTAGGGTAGAGTGTTTCGCCAACCGTCGTGAGGCATATCAGTGACGTAGTTGTACGGGGCCTGTCCAATCTCAAATGCTTCCATCGCTTTCTCATACAAGGGTCCGATATAGTGCGACTCGCCATAATCGTTCCATGAGATGATTTGAACAAACTCGGGCTGCACATAAAGGACCTCCTGCCAGCGGTCATGCCAAAGGTGATCGCCTCGCCATATCCAGTTTTTCTTATACCCCGGCAAGTTAGTGAAGAACCAAGGTGAAACCGGCATCATGTACGGCATGCCAGCCAGGTACTGGATGTAGGATGCATCGATATAGGTGTTCATATCTTCATCGCCCCAAGGCCAGCCAGCCCAGCTAAAGAGACCATCCACAACACCTGTCTCCACAGCGGGCTTAGCTCCAAGGGAGGACCAACTTGGAACGAAAAAACAGTTGGTAGCAAGTTTGATCAAAGGCCAGTCATCAGCACGACCTGGTCCCTCAAATGTGGAAACAAAGGCCTTTCCCTTGTAGAAAAAGTACGATGAATGAGCACTGTACTGTGTGATCAAGGCGACAACATCGTTTTTCGGCCAGTCTCCATTGCCAGCATAATCAAACGAGAAGAAAAGTTTGAAGCCGACAGAGTCTGCCGCCGCAAAGGCAGCAGCGAGAGCTTTCATGTTCGTGGGATCATTGTAAGCCATATTCAGGGCGAAGGCATCAATGTGCGCATCCTGTGCTAATTTCATGTCATTTTCCCAATCACTGGATGTATAATTGGCCGAATTCGTGACCTGGTTGTGCTGTCAGCAATTGCAAATCATCTTCGCCGACGAGTCAGAAATTACCATGAAATGAGCAAAGACAGCCGCTGCCTGCACTCGGCAGGAGAGCAGGAGAGCCGTAACCCAAGCCACGAACAATCGCATGGCTGGTGTTGATACGTTGAACACTGGGCTCTAAAAGTCTTGCTCCGAGTACCTCAATGCCGGCTGTTGTTCTCTTGAATATAGAGACCTCGAGCTCCTTTTCAAACTTGCATAGCGGGTGCCTCGGCTGGGTGAGGAATTTTTTATATTTTATTTCGCAAAAAATAATTTCATGAAAGGTGGATTCTATTATCGAGTTTGGAGGCAAATCTCGGTGATAACCGGTGAGCTCGGCTCCTACTCGTTACTAGTTTTCCCCTAAAGTATTGCATTAGCCCACTACACTAGCGGTATTAATGAGACAGATGAATATCAAGTTAAAAGCCGAAAGCGCCGGGCGTCTAGCTAGCGTGCCAAGCTGCCCTAATTCTTAGTTTATTGACAGTTCAAAAAGCTCCATCGCTGCACCTCTCGATACAACACTACGTACCCAAATAGGAAACGTGCTATGAGCTAGCAAAAAAAAAAGAAGAGAAAAAAAAAAAAAAAAAAA